ATGGAGTTGAATGGTTTGTACAAGTCAACAAATGTTAGTATGGCAGGTAGGCTGTTGGCCTTTACTTCTTCACTGATGCATCTGTGGGCGAGGATTTGCCTGACAGTTGATCGACTATCTCTAAAGTCATTTTGAGTCATTTTTTCAAAGTGTGGTTTTAACCAATTTAGAATCATTCACAAAAATAAATTTGAACTGAGTATACCTCAGAATTCACAGCAATATGATAGGAAAATGAAAATATACCTCCAGTAATATGTGCTTTGATAACAATCCAACAATGCTTTTGTTTCTTACAAAAAACACAATACAGGTTATTTTGTAATTTGAGTAGCAACTCAACTGGCTCCACTTAAGAGAGAGAGAACCCCTCCCCCCACACATACATACAGAGTTATGTAAGTAGAGTGCAATCATATGTTGTATTGAATTTATTTTATTACATATACATTTACTGAAAGCACTGACTTGTACTGAGAAACTTAGTAGCCAAGCACCCTATTTAAAACAAGGGATATTACTCTTCTGATTTTATAAGCTCACTGAAGTTTAACAGGAAATGTTTTTCTTATATTTTTATGTATCATCTGATATTCATTTCTTACTTCACAAATTGTTAAAAGTTGAAGCAAATATTACACTATCCCATCTGAATGTAACTAAGTATAAACATGTTTTGTGACCCATACAGTAATGATACATTTTAAATGAGAGAGTAAATATATTTTTCAGTTTAGTTATGTGTTTTTGTATAGCTGTTCCCTAGTTTTCACCATTAAGATTATATATATAGTGTTGACTTGTTCTGGGCCTGGGTGTGCATTATGGAATGTGCCTGTACCTCTAAATATGTACTCATAAATATTATTGTAATGCAGTCATTATTGCATACACATTATGGATATGGAAGTAAATACAAACCATCATGATAGCAATTTAATATGTTCCAAACATAGAAAATTATTCATATATCCAGCTTTTACTGTGCTGCCTTTTTCCTGTGATGATGCTCAGCAAATGTTTCTCCAACTAACAATGGGAATACAAATGATGCTTCCCCATAGATCTGAAAAAAATATATAATTATTACATCTATCTTTGTAACCTGCATTCCTAGGTTATTCTAACACAGAGAAAAGAGACCAACCTTATGTATCTACTTTACCGACAAACAAATTATATTCATGTATTAAATCAAGTTTTGAAAGCATAACATCACTGCTTCTTTTTCATCAATGCAGACATTGTGCACAAAAAAGAGACGAAAGAAAGAAAAAAGGGAAAAAAATATAAACACACACAAAATAATAATAAATATACAAATAAATAAATAAATAAGAATAAATAAATAAATAAGAATAAATAAATAAATAAGAATAAATAAATAAATAAGAATAAATAAATAAATAAGAATAAATGAATAAACAAATAAATAAATAAACAAATAAATAAATAAATAAATAAATCCTTACTTTAACAGGGGTTGAATCCATTTTAATCTTTCCCCAAGAGACTGCTTCATCTGGTCGAGCACCACTATCACTGCCATCCCATTCACTTGCAGTATTCAGAAACACTGAAAAATTAGCACCATTTCTCTGAAAAAGGTAGGAATAATAAGTAAATGGGTTGCATATGAAGTATAAATATTGTTTTCATCTGGAAAGTAACCATGTAAGGTGTTTCAGCTGGATTGCAGCAATCTACAGATACTAAATATGGAGATATGTAAATGCAAAAGTTCGCACAATTTTTGTATGCACTAATTGTTTTCCTCCAGAAATGAACTATATAATACCTTCCAGCTGGATTTCAGCAATTCATAGATATCTACAGTTACTAAACATTGAGATACATAAATGCAAAAGTTCACACAAAATAAACTACAGAACACACCATTAGATTAGCATTACATATGTGGTGCTTGATAATTCCCCCGCCTACTATCAGCATACCAGTGTTTAAAGATTTCTTGGCAAACTGATTGAGTCTTCTCAGATCTGAAATATAAAAATTAACATATTACATATGCAAAACATTAACCTCAACAACACTTACATCTTAACTTTAGTTTATTCATGGGGTGTAAATGTAAATGAAGAATCTATATATAAATGTCAAATGTATGATGATTAAAAGATGAAAAAAATGAGTATACACAAGTTTGTTTTTTATGTCTCTCTGTTTTTTATGTCTCTGAATGCTAAAAAAATGTACCTTACCAGAATTAATGTCAACAATCAAGCCTGGATTCTTTATGCTATGGAAATACATCATATCTCCAAGACTACCATCAGTCAATGCAGGGCTAAAAATTGGAATTTTATTCTTAGCAGCCCAATACGCAATGCAGGAAGGATCGCCTATTTCTTCACCTAGGCGTGCAATTATTTTAGATGGTGACCAGACTATTCCCTGAAAGAATAAATTGATTTTTAGTGATGTCAGTTACAGAAAAGAAAAAATGAAGAAAAAAAAGAAAGAAAAAAAAATATATATA